ACTGATTTTCATGTAACGTACAGTACGCGCCATCTACAAACGCGCGAACTGGGCGGGCACTGACGAATTTTGAATTAATTCTTTTACCATTGAGCTCCCCGTGCTTGTTTACCCATAAATCCAAGTCGCGCACTTGAAACTCGACAAAAAAATTGTATTAGTCTTATCGAAAATTACAGGAGTATTTTCTCCACTTGATTCGACAATTTCAGTCACGACTGCGTAAGTGTCGAATTGTGGACATGTGAAGTCCTAGAACCGTGCTATGTCCACTGCTCTCATTCGTGTTCGCTGTATATTCGCAACTTTAAATGGGTTGTTAGTCTTTCTAGTGTTATATTACTCTGTGATCAGGAGTGCTCGGTGGAGGGAATATTGTCGGGTAAACCGAATCCTGTGGTTGTTGAAGTGAACAGGATCGTTACTAAGGAGTTTGATAAGGCTAGTGATAAGTAATACTTCAAGACAACGACGTTTCATCGGGCTAGAGGAAGAGGTCGGGTCGTCGTGTTCTCACTCAAATAGTAGTAGTAGTAGTAGTAGTAGTAGTAGTAGTAGTAGTAGTAGTAGTAATAGCAGTAGTAATAGTAGTAGTACTAACAATAGTAGTAGCAGTAATAGTAGTAGTAATAGTAGTAGTGTATTTAGATGATGGTTTTTGATAGGCTCTCTCGACTTCAGCGTTATATCCTCATGCACGTACCACGAGAAGAGGATGGTAACAATTTCGGTGTTGAAGTCCAGGCTCAGTTCAATGCAAAGTAATACCACAAATTCGCCATAGTAGTTTTCACTACTGTCCAGATTGGGTGAATATCTGAAATGGTGTGATGACACTCAAGACGAGAATAAGGTCTATCATCAGGCTCGAGCTGAGAGTAGGGCAATTTTGTGGCGCGCGAAATTGTAAGTTGTTGTTGTTATTAGTTATTCGGCAGATGGAGTTTGAGAGAGCTGTGGAGGAAAGAGAAACTGTATGCGAAAAAGAGGGCAAAGTGAGCGGACTTTTGGAATAGTAGGGAATGTGGTCAGTAGTGTTGGAGTATATATCGGAGTTTCACCACCCTAGTGATA